CCAATTGTGGTGATATAACTTTCACTAAAAGTTTAGATTTGATGTAAATTTTATTTAAATGTAATGAATAGATTGAATTAAATTTTATTTGAAAAGAAATTATAGTTACCTTTACTTTATCTGTTACCAACAAATAATTTCAAGTACAATTTTTTTAATATTTTCATACAAACCCCCCTTGACACATTTCTATAAAATACTGATTCTTCTTTATTAAAAGTTATTTTAAATGTCTTTTTTGTATTTTTACCTGTGACAAATGTAGCAGGATCGATCCTTGTGTGCCGAGCAACCTGTCCCTCCGCAAATTCCATAAACGTATTGATTACTTTTCGATGAGTGTTCGGCGAAATATATTCCGGCTCCGAACATGCCCCCTATGTACGCGTGTCTTTCGTCGAAACCTTTTTGCACTATCGCATTTATAAAAGCAGAACCGTGGAATAGCATTCTTTCGTTACTTTGGTTACCATTTTCTTCCGCTACTTCCTGCCTTCTGTGCGTGTAACGTTCCCATAATTTCCTATTTTGTACCTTTTGTATCTGAAACAACAAAAAATTATATAGTACCTAATGAGGATAGGAGCGCAAAATTTTCTGCTCATTATCATGCCGTATAGAAAATGGTCGAATTAATACTACATACACAAATTTCAATTTTTTAAAAGGATGCCATATTAGATTTTCTCAATCTTGAGTTTGTTTTTTTTTCTGACTAATTTGATATCTCGTAGTGTTGGTTTTATAATTTATTGCAGAGAACCATTTTGTTGATTTTTTCTATTAACTCACCCTTATTATGTTGTATCTACTAAAAATGCCACCAGCATGACCGTTATCTCGATGTCTTTGGATTGTGTTTTGCATCTCTTCTTCGACTGCTATGTATTCCTTGTCATCTGTCAGTAGGTCAACTAGGAGCGTTCCAGGATTTGAAGGAGTCGTCCAAGGACTGCCATAGTTTGCAACGAATCTTTCTATGCCCTTTATCAACTTATGACGGTAACCATATGCAGAAATGCCGATTTGCTTTAAATCTTCGTGACCCATCTCGGCTAGAATATCCAACGTGATTTGTTCACGTTCCAATAATTCCAATAAATGTTCCAAGTTTAAACTAAAAAAATAAAAGAAATATTACTCCAATACAACATAATTATCCCCACAGACGAACTCCTACTTCATTGAACTTTTATTTTTTTCTTCATTTTATAGAAATAACATAGGAAGTTCAATAGTGATATATATTTTTTAATGTTTAATTTTACTTCAAAATACTGTAAAATTGTTGTGGCATTTTAGCATTTTACACAATTTAAAAGCATTGGGTGACTTACTTGGCTAAAAATGTGGCAATATTAACCACCTCTCCAGATTCTTGAACACTTCCTTCCAGTTTCAACGTTTCAGCACATCCTTCGGCGTTTGGCATCGCAATGCTCATACGCGTAGTCGCTACTGGGACAGTTAGCGTTAAGGGTGCTCCTGAAGGCATTATCACCACCTCTTTAACTGCAGCTTGGACGGACGAGCTTGTTGACGCGTGCGATAAAGCGACAGAGGGCGGTCTTAGAACGGCGTTCACGGACGCTGAAGACGCTGTTGGTACCGATTGTTGGGACGCCATAGCGTCTCGTAAGAGACAACGGACGTCCTCCTGGATAGCTAGGTCGACTGGCGCTTGGTCCTCTTGATTTTTCAGGAATGGGTCGGCACCATGTGCGAGCTAAAATTGACACTTTTAAAGAAAAAGCAAAAAATGCGCATACAATATAACAAATAGATAGTGAAGTGAAGTAAGGAACAAAGAGGCGGAAAGAAAGAAAATTAGGATACAGAATAAGAACTACTCCACTTAAAATTACATATTTTCAAAATATTTAAATTATATTTTTACTTTAAAACGGTTTGATATTAAGGGTTAATAATTTGGTTCTTAAAAATAAAGTTGACTTACTAGGAGAGCACATAGTTGAGTTCGTCCTTTCTGGGCTGCCTCGTGAAGAGGTGTAAAGCCCCATTTATCGGTGGCATTGACAACCGTGTTGAACTTGATGAGGAGGGCTGCAATGTCCAGGTGCCCGTAACTCGACGCGTTATGGAGTGGAATGAGTCCGCCTTTATCCTGCGCATTAACGTCTGCTCCGTTGTCTAGAAGGAATTCCGCCACTTCGACGTTGTTATAACCGGCTATACGAAAAATATTAATTTTATTTTTTTAACCAATTAATAAACAATATTACAAACAGAAAAATTCCATTTGAAACTTAATCAATCAAATTGTGGATTCATCTAAAAGGTATTATCAAATTATTTGATTACTTTTTTTACTTAACAAAATACTTGAAATCCTTTAGGAATATTAAAGAATCTGTGTCAATTTCATTGTTTTCTGCCATTAAATTAAGTTGTCAAATAAAAACCTGTTTACATTGCAGCACATACAAGTAACAGGCAAAGTTGTTAATAAAATACAAATTATTTCAGAATAACTTACCAGCGAGATGTAATGGAGTAGAATTTCTACCCTGCGCGTCTCGGCAGTTAATATTGTCGGGGGTTACCAGTCTTTGAACTCTCGCTAAATTACCCTTTTTGGCAGCGTCTAGAAGGGCCGCGTTACCCCTGAGAAGATCTGCTACATCTTCGTCCCCTTCTCGGACGAGATCCAACGGCGTCGCTCCATCTCTGTTCTTTTTTGACGGATCTGCACCGTTCTGAAATAATAAAATCATAAAAAGAAAATAATATAAAATATAATAGAAGTGTAGATTGATTATACTGATTAAATAGTGCGTTTCTCTCCCTACTTTCGGTAAATCGTTTCCGTTATTTCTAAGAAATCACGCCCATTGTTCTACATACGTGCATACCGAACGGTAAGATATTACACATAAAAAATGTGTAATATAGACTATAGAGTAAAATATGCTTTTCCTTACCTTCAGTAACAATTTGACAATTTCATATTTCCCTTTGGCAGCGGCTTCGTGTAGAGGTGTGAACTTCCACAAGTCTGCTACATTTACATTGGCACCGTGCTTCACAAGAAGTTCTGTCACCTCGTAGTGACCGTAGGAACATGCATTGTGGAGTGGAACTAAACCCCTAAATTTAAATAATTAAGAATTTAATTAATTAACAAATTAGTCTCCGTAGAGCACAATAGAGGCATTTCCATTGACTTAGTAAAACAAGAATTTATTCGTTAAAAAAATTGAAAAAAGCCAAATTATAATATCGAGCTACGGCAGTATGTCGTCATCTACCGATATTTACTGTTACCTTATAATTATTAACGCAATTTATATAGGCGAGAGGAACGTAAGGCAAATTAAAGAACTTAATTCGTTCTTATTACTGCCAAATTATTTTTTTTTAATTTTTTAAATCTACCACTTTTGCAGCTACGCGAAGTTGCCGACAATGTCTAGAATTATTACTTTATTTATTTACTTTAGACTATTTACTTTTTGTAAATTTTAACGTGTCGAGATGGTGACAATTGTTGAATTGAGTTGTTAACGTTACACCAACGATTACTTATTATTATAGGTATGAAACTAAATGATCCATTAAAAGGTGTTATTCTTACCCCTTATCTTTGGCGTGTACATCTGCTCCGCATTGTAATAAGAATTCCACGACTGAGACCCTGTTATAGCCCGAAGCAAAATGTAAGGGAGTCGAATGCCTTCCGTCCATGTCCCTACAGTTGACTATGTGTGGATAAGTTCCCAAAATTCTCTGTACCTGCTCCAAATCTCCGGCTTTCGCTGCTTCCAACAACTGACTTTCTAAATCAGCAGTACCAGAAGGTGGATCTAAAACAAGCAAACAAATAAAATCAATTCCCATTGTCTCCCCAACATCTCAAGCAAACATACCTTGCAATATTTTCATAACAGCTTCGGAAGCGACTTGCGCGGCCGTGTAACCCTGCAACGATACAATGGACGTGTCCACGTTATACGAGAGCAATATCCTGCAGGCTTGCACGTTCCCATCTTTGGCACATCGGTGTAATGCGGTCTGTCCAAGACCGTCGAGGGCGTTCACTTTGGCCCCATGACGTAATAGTACGTCCATAACGTCGTATTGGGAATGGTCAGCCGCCAAGTGCAAGGGCGTGAGGAAGTCTTTATTTTTCTCGTTCAAAGGGGCCCCCTTGCGCACCAGCATCTCACACACCTGTTTTCGTTTGGTGTAAACGGAATTAACGACCGCGTGGAGGACAGTGTCTCCGTTGAAGGGATGCTTAAAGCCGATCACATCCGATGACATGTATTTCTTTAGTTTTGTGGTGTCGCATTGGCGAGCGGCTTCAAGCAAACAATGCCCTTTGTATTCATCTAAATAAAACAATAACGAATTATAAAAAAGGAGGTGCGCATACTTGTTTACCCGCGATAAAAAGTATCCTTCTATATACATATTTACGTAGCCTGTATATTATAATATGCTGTGGTATAACTTCTATTGCATGATAAAATTTTACTCTTAACGCGTCAAAAGCAGTACAATTTCAAAAATATACTTCATTCTTCTTCGAGTATTTTTTTTGACCAATATGCCACATACGGAACAGCCGATTAGGTGATAAGTATAATTGCATTTTTTAAATAAAATATAAAAGAAAACAGGTACCACAATAAACATCACTATATTCTTTTATCTCTCTTCTATCACTAGAAGCATTTGAGATTTGGTGTAATAGGTGAATGATGAAAATGCCACGGACTGGAAAAATTTATAAATGATGAGGTATATGAAGAAGAAGCAGAACGGAGGATGTAACAAAAGTCAATAAGGAAAAGGTACACGAAGCGCTAGTTATAGACATATTAAAACAGAAACAGGAGTGAGGAAGACCTAAATTAGATTCTCAAAATCACGTGCGTGTCCAGTCAATCTTCAGATCGACAATCTTGTGATCATAATAAACTTACACGCGATATTTTCCTGCAATTCTCTTGTAGGGGCTACGTCGATGGCGGATTTTGAATGGCAGTTGAGTAGCGTGGGATCTGCTCCTTCGCAGAGCAAAAGCGAGCATACGTCAATACGATTTTTAGACGCGGCTTCGTGGAGTGGAGTGAAGGCCCAAAGGTCATTGGCGTTTACGTTGGCACCGTGTTTTATCAACATTTCGGTCACTTCGAAATGACCGTAAGAACACGCGTTATGTAACGGAACTAAACCGCTGAAATTAAAACAGAAAACTGTAACAATACAGCTCCGATACCTTTACTACTATAAATTAAATGCATATATTTTCAAGGACTTTTTACTAATAAATATTAACATTGTATAAAACCTGTAAAAGCATAGTTTTTAACGTAGATAAAATAACTTGTAATCTTGCAGTCTATTTCGCATAAATATTATTTTATTTGTTAAATATTGAACTATTAGTTAGTTAACTGAATTATTATGAAATAGGCCAATTATTAAAATTGACTGAATTTTTAATATTTATTTTAATACTACTTCTTAAACAAATACTCATGGTTTTACACTGAATGTAGTAATTAGCGTAGGGTAATTAATAAGTACCAACTAATTAAATTAGCGTAGGTGTTTTGGAAATAAATGTACATACATGTATACTTTTTAATAATTAAGAAAATCAATAATTATCGAGTGCATTCAATCGAGTCCAATAAACGTGACTCACCCTTTGTCTTTGGCGTGTACATCAGCTCCATGCTGAAGCAGGAGTTGCACTACCCTCCCCCTATTATATCCAGCAGCTAAATGCAAGGGTGTTGAACGCCGGCCATCGCTAGCGTGGCAGTTTACGTTAAGGGGATTTAAAAGGGACAATAACCTGTCTTCAGCCCCAGACCTTGCTGCCTCCAGGAGCTCGTCTTTCCTATATTCGCCTGTCAGAACGGGTTTCACGGCAGCATCTGCTAGATCGAGGGGTGTTTTTCCCTCCGTGTTTCGTATGTTTGGATCGGCACCGTGTTGTAAAAGTGCTACATTTACAAAAAAAAGAAAAATCATTGAATTTCAAATAATTTATATTTACAAAAATTTGTTTTTGAAAAACTGTATGCTACCACAAAAAAAATATAACATTAATGATTAGAAAGGAATAAAATAATAGCACATTACATAAGTTTTAATTGGAACTTTCTCCTATGCACTAACATATACTATCAACTATGTTAACAGTCATACAGTCACAAATAAAAAGAAATGCAATTAAATTTAATAAAACAAATTATTGCAGCCATATTTAAGGTATAATAAATGCACTTACCTATACAAACATCTATTTTGCCTTTTATTGCAGCTTCATGTAACGGTGTGTAATTCCAATTATCCCTGGTGTTTGGATTAGCACCTGCTTCAAGTAATAGTCTCACTACATCTGCGTGGCCAAATGAGCAAGCATTATGAAGTGGATGCAGCCCTCCATCGTCTCTTGCTTGAATTGAAGCTCCAGATGATAATAAAAATTCTACAACGTCTCTTCTACCATAGCCTGACAATAACAAAAATAGTAAACAACTTTTTATCACTTGAGAAACTTGATATTATTTTCAACAACAGAATCATGTTTAACAATGAATTACTTATTTGTTCGATATAATAACATAAATAAAACTTATCTAATTTTATATATAAAATCAAATAAAAGAAAACACGAAATTAATTACAAGTGCCTCATATTTATTAGGTGATAATTTTGTGTTCAAAATTTTTTATTTTATTATTCAATCACTTTTACGCAATTCCTGAGAGAATTATTTATAAAAGCCAAGACAATCAATGTTTTAAACTTTGGTAATTAGCAGTCACTTAACGCCTGAGTTGACTAATTAGCACAGCAGGATATTACATTCTGAAGGTAACTTGTCAACCATGAAAAATAAAATAAAAAGTATTTTTACAGTTTACCTGCAGCGAAATGTAAGGGTGTCGACTTTCTCCCTGCAGTGTCCCTTGCATTAACTGTTTGAGGAGTGACCAATTTTCTGACTCTGGAAATGTCCCCAGTTTTACATGCTTCGAAAAGCTCTCTCAAAGGGTCGCTGGAACTCGGCAATGTTTCCATGGAAGATGCCAAAACGGCTCGTCGATTCGCCATTTCAAAGTTTCACTTTTTGTTACTCAACATAAGGATCACAGTAAATCCGACATTTTTCACGAAAAACATAAAACTTTAAAGACAATTTTTAACATGGTAATATGACAACATTTTAGGTCATTTTCAAGTGGTTTTGATGCAACAAAAAACAAAAAATAAAGGCAGAATAACCTCTAGTAAGGCTGAGCAACAGAAACTATTTTGACAGTACTTTGACAGTTAAAGTAGGTCGATCTTTTCTAGAGTGCATCCAGTTACAGTGGTGTACTATTTTTTCCGTACTCCTTGAAACTAAATTAGTTTTAATTGTTATAGGTAAAATAATTAATCCGAATCTTATGTATTTTTTTTGACCAATATGCCACATACGGAACAGCCGATTAGGTGATAAGTATAATTGCATTTTTTAAATAAAATATAAAAGAAAACAGGTACCACAATAAACATCACTATATTCTTTTATCTCTCTTCTATCACTAGAAGCATTTGAGATTTGGTGTAATAGGTGAATGATGAAAATGCCACGGACTGGAAAAATTTATAAATGATGAGGTATATGAAGAAGAAGCAGAACGGAGGATGTAACAAAAGTCAATAAGGAAAAGGTACACGAAGCGCTAGTTATAGACATATTAAAACAGAAACAGGAGTGAGGAAGACCTAAATTAGATTCTCAAAATCACGTGCGTGTCCAGTCAATCTTCAGATCGACAATCTTGTGATCATAATAAACTTACACGCGATATTTTCCTGCAATTCTCTTGTAGGGGCTACGTCGATGGCGGATTTTGAATGGCAGTTGAGTAGCGTGGGATCTGCTCCTTCGCAGAGCAAAAGCGAGCATACGTCAATACGATTTTTAGACGCGGCTTCGTGGAGTGGAGTGAAGGCCCAAAGGTCATTGGCGTTTACGTTGGCACCGTGTTTTATCAACATTTCGGTCACTTCGAAATGACCGTAAGAACACGCGTTATGTAACGGAACTAAACCGCTGAAATTAAAACAGAAAACTGTAACAATACAGCTCCGATACCTTTACTACTATAAATTAAATGCATATATTTTCAAGGACTTTTTACTAATAAATATTAACATTGTATAAAACCTGTAAAAGCATAGTTTTTAACGTAGATAAAATAACTTGTAATCTTGCAGTCTATTTCGCATAAATATTATTTTATTTGTTAAATATTGAACTATTAGTTAGTTAACTGAATTATTATGAAATAGGCCAATTATTAAAATTGACTGAATTTTTAATATTTATTTTAATACTACTTCTTAAACAAATACTCATGGTTTTACACTGAATGTAGTAATTAGCGTAGGGTAATTAATAAGTACCAACTAATTAAATTAGCGTAGGTGTTTTGGAAATAAATGTACATANTTATAGAAATATAATAATATAATTTGAACAACAACATTGTAATTTTAATGTAGATGTGTATTGAAAAAAATAAAAATAATTGATTTTTCAGAAAAGCAAATACTAGACATTATCGAGTATTTTAAAAAATGTGGTTATATTGACGAAGAAATATACAAGAATATTTTAGAATCTAAAATATATGAATCAGTGTATATACACTGGATTACCCTCAAGCGAATATGTAAGTTGTCATGATTTTTACTTAATAATTTTAACACCAAAAATTAAGTAAAACAATTTTAATTTATTCAGTAAGGGGGCGTTCATTAATTACATGAGGTGTTCTCCCTTTACGTTGTTTCTCTCTGAGTCCCTTTAAGAGATTTGGTAAGGCGTAGTGAGACAGTGGGACCGCCATTTCTCTCACAAAAGTAAAAAAAAATTTTTTATTATCTGATCATAATAATGTATATTCCTTGAATGAAAAAGTTAACACGAGATTTTCAATGAGCCCCCGCTTCTTTTAATTGAAATTTGACAAGACTCTTCCAACTTCCATTTCGAGGTCACGTAATTAATGGATTTTCCCGTAAATTTCTTTTTGCTAAAAACTTGAAAAAAATAATAAATTAAGTAATATTCTACCCCCAATGTATCAATGCCCAGGTTTAATAGTCCCCTGTGGTTTTTCTTTAATTAAAAAGTTCCGTACCTCTAACAAATCTGCACCTGTTTGACATACGACGTCTTTCATACCGATTAGGGTTTCTATCAAAAGAAATAGGGGCTGATCTAGAAACAATTCTTGGGGATGGGGGTTAACCTTTTCCTAAATATAGCTTTTGGGATGAGTTCTCTATTAAGCTACGTTTTTCAAAATTTAATGATTCCAGATTCAAACTTACATAATTTTTTCGCTGAAAATTAAGGCAGTAATTTTTCTGTTTTTATGTTTTTTTTTATATTCAACGGCAAATTTAATTCGATTTTTCTCACATAACATTTCTCATACTACTGATGTAATCTGCATTAAATCACAGAGCCCTTGGGAGGGGAAATTTTAGCTTAGTTATTTCCCTTCGTTGGAAGAAGAGAACATAAAAATATTACCTCAGAAGGTTAGGTTATGGTAGGATTAGGACGTTCTGCATAAATTTCAAATCAGGGGATTCCCCTATTCATAATCTCTTCATTAAAAGGTGCATTAACCTCAGAATATTTTTTTTCATGCTCTCGCTTCATTTTCTTCTTATTTCTACAAATAAACACATTAGCATAACCACTGAAAATTTTGTTGGACGGCTAGATATAGGGTTGCCACCTTTACTTTATTATGAAGTATTGTACTCTATTTCGACTGTGCGTACGTTATACTTTACAAGACACATAAAGTACGCAAAAATACTTTATTTAAGGCCATAAGTAATTTTGTAAGCGATTTCACAAATTTGTTCAAAGTAGTGTCACTTTTACTGTCCGTCCCTGCCACTTCAGCATTTACAGAAAGAGTATTCCCTGTTATGAACGCAAAGTAGCGGGACGACAGGAATAAAGCTCATTAAAACTAATTAAAAATGAACTTTTAGTTTACTTAAATCTTTGTTTGCCATGTTTGGAGGCTATTAATGTATTTAAGAGCGACAGCAATTTGTTACTGGCTGCTAGGTGTAACAAAAAATATGTTTTTAAAAACAAAAAATAAAATACTTTATTTTTATGCCGAGTACTTTTTTTTACCATTTGTACCAAAGGTAGAATAACAATAA